AGTGCTGAGGTTTCTTCAGGATAACTGCAAACAAGATCCTGGTGCATATTGGGTAAGATGCTGAAATTTATTGTATTATATTTTCTAATATCTGATCCTCACTTTGATGACTTCATTATACTAGCTTCATGGTTTTATATTTGTATTTTTCTTGTCAGCTCTATAAGGGTAATGGAGAAGATGTGATACAACTGTTTGATCTTTCTGTCATACCAAAGAAGCACTCAACTGATGATCATGATGAAAGTTGTAGTTCTTTGTCATCACTGATGGACAAAGGAAGAAGGGATTCATTGTTTTCTCTTGGAACACTTCTCTATCGTGTTGCTCACAGGCTGTCACTTTCAAAGGTACTTGAATTAAAGCTTTTACTTAGGTCAGTTTTGTGTTTGCTAATGTTTTTCTTAAACATTCCTTGTTGTGATTGTGTTCTGTAGGCACCTGATAATAGGGTAAAGTGTGCAAAGTTTTTCAAAAAATGTTTGGAGTTCCTTAGTGAGCAAGATCACCTAGTACGTTGTTTTGCCCATCAGTCACTTTCTTCAACATCTGTCCAGTTTTCTTCTTGATTTTAAATCATTGCACTAACCTGATATATTTTCCTAATCATGCAATTTATACATGCTAGGTGGTCCGTGCATATGCTCATGAACAGTTTGCGAGACTAATTTTAAAATGTTATGAGGAACTTGAACTAACATTAGAACCATTTCTTCCAGAATCAGAAGTCAGTGTTACTAACTTAGAAGATGAATCTTCGGTAGAAATGTTTGTTTCGAAGTCCCAAGATAAGAGGTTGTCTGATGATGTTAAACATGAGAATCCAAAAGAATCTGGAATGGAGAAACTCGAAACAGAAACATATTCAAATGAAAATGTTCAGTCATCTGCAACTATGGAAATCGAGACATTAGAAAGCAAGGTTAGTTCCGGAATACGTGATAGCTTGGTTATGTGTCAGAACATAAGTTCTCCACCTATGGTTAGTACAGTTGCTGATCCAATCTCCTCCAAGTTAGTTGCAATACACCATGTGTCCCAAGCTATCAAATCTCTCAGATGGAAGCGTCAGCTGCAAAACACTCAAGGGGATTTGATTGACCATGGAAGCAGGATTCATGATATATCTTCCTCTGTCAATTTTTCTTTATGTTCTTGTGGTGATGCTGATTGTATTGAAGTTTGTGATATTCGTGAATGGCTTCCAAAATCTAGAATTGATCACAAAATGTGGAAGCTTGTTCTTTTGTTAGGAGAGTCCTATCTATCTCTGGGTGAGGCTTATAAGGAGGATGGACAATTGCTTCGGGCCCTCAAGGTTGTAGAATTAGCGTGTTTACTTTACGGGTCAATGCCTCAATATCTTGAGGATGCTCAATTCATATCATCTATGACCAGTAGCTCATCATGTCAGCTAAAGCTTGATAGTGGCAAAGATTCGACTTATGTAGTTGCAGATTCTGCAACAGATTTGGAACCAAAGCTCTTTGAGGATGCTTGTTGTGATGGTCAGTTCTCTCCAACTAACTTATTCTGGGCTAAGGTATGGACACACATTGGGGATGTATATGTGGAGTATCATAGAAGAAATGGTAAAGACATAACAGTTCAAGCAGAAAAAAATACATCAGGAAGTGAGGTTCGAATGTCAAATGAAGTTGTGAAGGAGGTAAAACGTCTGAAAAAAAAACTAGGACGGTGCAAGCAAAATTGCAGCACTTGTTCTTTGATGAACTGTAGCTGCCAGAGTGATAGGGCAAGCAGTGGAAACAGCGCGAGTAGTAGCACCAGAGATACTCCCTCATTTTACAACAGAAAACCCAGTAGAAAATCAACAATAAAAAACTTGCCATTTTCACCTTCTGTACAAACCCAAAATAATAATAATCCATGTATGGTAGGGATATCAAGTGTTTTTGATGGTGACCAGTTGCAGTATGATGTACCTGTTGGATCGAGAGGAGATGAGGAGCCCAAGGAAAGCTCTATATCAACTGGTGTTGAACACATCAATCATGACAAGGATATTTGCACCAAAAATTCTAAAGAAGCAATTGTTTCTGAACCATGTAGTACTGATTCATCCAAGGCAAGAAGTGGAGGTGTCTTTAAGTTTCTTGAAGGTCCTAAGCCTGGAGATGTTGAATATAACTTATCTGCTGCTGTCGGTTGTTACAGAGAAGCTAGTAAAGCCATGGACGGACTTCCTAGTGGCTTAGGAGAACTTGGTTCTGTCTTGAAGAAGTGGGGATGGGTCTCCAATGAACTTGGTCGATACAAACTTGAGAACAGGAAATTGGCTGATGCTGAAATTGCATTTGCAGATGCTATAAAAGCATTTAAAGAAGTTAGTGATCATACCAACATCATACTGATCAACTGTAATTTAGGCCATGGCAGAAGAGCATTGGCTGAAGAACTAGTTTCCAAGATGGATGAACTTAAGAAGTATGACCTACTCCAAAATGCATATAAGCAAGCTATGAATTCAGCTAAGTCCGAATACACAAAATCTCTGAAACACTATGGTGCTGCAATAATGGAAATGAACTTGGTTAGTGAGAAGGTTGATACTTTTCTATGCAATGAAGCACACACACAATATGCTAACACATATCTGAGGTTTGGAATGCTTTTGGCAAAAGAAAGCATTTCAACTGAGAGTTATGACTCTGGACACATTGATGTCTTGCTTAGTGATGAAAAAAAGGAACAAGAAAAGCATGTGATATCAGCAAGCGATGCTTTTAGGGAGGCTTTGTCGACATATGAAGCCCTTGGTGAGCTGCGTAAACAGGAGGCTGCTTTTGCTCAGTTCCAGCTTGCCTGCTACTACAGGGATTTATGTTTAAAGTTCTTGGATTTGGACCACAAACAAGTGAAAGACTCTAAAACTGAAAACAAAAATCGACAGAAGGCAAAATGGTATGCCTCTTTAGCAGAGAAGAACTGGCAGAAATCTATTGCTTTCTACAGTCCGCAGACATATGCTGTTATGTACTTAAATATGCTTATGGAGCAATCATCCCTTTCTTTGCGCCTCTCAGAGTCATTTCATTCGAACACAGTATGTTATCCTGAACCCTTTCTTTTACCATGATGCAGTATGGTATTTTGTTGTCATGGACATGCTGGAATGGTGTTTGGGGTTAATATTAGGTTCATAAAACATTTGGAGAGCAAAAAGCTATAGGATACTCTGCCGTGCTAGTGCAGTCATGATGTTTGATCAGATTCTGTTTTTAAGCGTATCCTTCTTTGGCTTACACAACTATTTATCAGTGTATAACACTGGTATATAGCTCTAATTTTTACTTGTTAAATTTTAGTTTTCGGATCATCTCCATTAAGATGTTTTACAAATTGTATCTACAATATCCTTTATGGGTACAACTCATAGTATTTTGCTGACAACAAGGTTCAGATCAATATTCTAGCTCATCTGAATTAGTTAGTCTGAAATATGATGAAGGCAACAAGAGATGATTATCTTGTGACTCATATATCTCAAATCTTTACCTTTTCTGTAGATGTTGGAAGCTGCACTAGTACACCTACTGGAAGCTCGCCATGTTGTTGAAGCTGATAATGATCAGACTTCTGAGATCAAAGAGAAATTCTGGAATCAGTTACAGGCACTCCTTAAGAATATGTTGGCTGCCGCACTCTCAGCTGGTGCAAATAAAGCTGGAGTTATCGGTCAAGCACCGCATTGCAGTAGAGGTGGAGATGCTGCCAAGCTGAGGGAGATGTATAGGCTCTCATTGAAATCAACCAGTCTACATGAATTGCATCTCATGCACAAGCTATGGTTATCATAAATGAGATTTTGAAGTCAAATTGGCTTGTTGTGGCAGGTAATGTCTCTGCGCTTATGAACTCTTGACATGGAGTTGCTCTCATTTTCTTTGGTCACCCAAATGGGTCTTTCATCATATTTTCTATTGGCTTTCAGCTTCTCTTTTCTTCTGAGTTAATATATACTGATATTGCTGCGGTAACCTTCCAACGGTTCTTTGTTTGTTATCCTTCCGGGGGATAACCTGCAAACTAATTTCTGCTTGTTCTTTCAATTTGACCTGGAGAACTGGCACATCCAGTTAGCCTGAAAGAAATGATATGGCATCTATGCAGCTGATGGTTTTACCATTGCACCACCCGAATGCAAGAGCAACATGGCATCTTCCTCGAGAATCAAGCTGACCTTGGTTGCATTCTTTTTTGGTATCAAGAAAGCAAGCATCTAAGCCTTATTATCTCCTTTCTGGAATTATCAGGTGAATGTCTGGATCATTGTCTACGTAAATCGGTCATTATCAACTTATGTTAATGATGTGAAATGTTTTATCCTCATGCATTTCCTTTTTCTTTTCCATGCAGGAAATCTTGATTCAGTTCTCATCCCCTCTTCATCTCTATCGTCACATTCTCTTCACCTGTGGCTACGTGTATTATGGTGAAATGACAGAAAACAAGGAATTATTCACATGAAAGATCTCATATGTACATTATCCTCTAATTGCAGAACACAGATAGCAAATTTGGCCTATGTAAATTAGAAGTAATACCAATGAAATTATTGGGAAAATCTCAGTTATGCATGCTAGGATGGATCCGAACATGAGATGTGGATATTGCTATGCATAATGGATCCGAAAATTATTAGATCCAGTATTAAGGACTCACATCTAAAACTTGTCTGAATCGTGTGGTGATTGAGCAGATATGGTGGGCGCCAAGCCGGGCTCCGCTCGCTGCTGCCCGTGGCAGACAAGGCTGGTACGTGCTAAAGAAGAAGAGAATTGTTTCGTCCCACTACTAAGCAACGACTTTAGCTGCGGGTTCATATCTACACATCCATCATTTCAAGCCGGATTCAAATCGGATTTTGGACTTATAATACGTTATCGGAAGTAGAATGTGGATCCATAACATTCACTGCATTTACATCCAAATTTTTGGATCCGGATTCGGATTATTAGCCGCTTCATCGGCAGCCTGGTCATGTCCGAAGTGTGACCGTCAAAAACAAGCTCGACTGCTTCGTCTGCTACCGTTTTGTTTACTTTTTTCATCGGCTCATAACAGACAATAAGACGGCCCGACGCGTAGAAGCCGAACAAAGAACGACGATGGCGTCCTCCGTTTGGATCTTCGCTTTACCTTGTTGATTGTTCTTAGTGAGATCCCTCCGAGAGAGATAAAGGGGGATGGAATCTCCGCCGGAAGACGATTTCTGCTCCATCTGCCATGATAACTTCACCCTCCCATGCCAAGCCAATTGCTCCCATTGGTTCTGCGGTCAGAACTCGCCTTCTCTCCCTCCGATCTTGAGCCCTAAGTCTTATTCTTGACTTCTTTCTTAGATCGTTGTTTTTGTTGTTAATTGGATTTAATTGCAATGAGCCCCAAGTTTGGGACACAGTCGGGATTTTGCGCTAACGTTGGGTGGTAGATCCGATACATTCGTTGATTCCATTGGGTCGCATCCTATGCTATAAATTATCTGATTCTTGGCTGTTGGATGAAGAATACTTATGGAATCCCCTCGTATCGGACCTAATAATATCTGATAATTTTTTGAAATGCACTTCGCATGGGGCTAGATGTGATTAAAGTTTCGGAATGGTTGTCAAGACTTGTATAATTAATCAAGATGCTTTTATTTTCCATTCGATTTGTATGCAAGGATATGAGGACCGACGTGTGTTTGAAACTGTGGACATTTACGACCTTCTAATTGTTCAAAAGAAACTTGCATCGAGTTTTGTGTGAGTAAGACCCGAGATACATACTTCTTGACCATGTGATTTTGGCATGTGTTATGTGAAACATATGCAATACGGACAGTCTCTTCATGCAACATGTTGGAGCCAATAAATTTTGAAGTGTAAAAAGATGAGGAACTTGTCATTTGGATGATTATATTCTACAATAGAATTTTTATGACCTTTTCACAAATAATTATCATGTATAAGTAGTGGTGGTTCAACTTGGAAAGACTAAAATTCCAGTGTTCTTCAAGAATGTCATGAAGAAAACTTTTATCACATTCCCCATCCTTGTCAAACATCATGCTATAATTTGGAGTGCCACATTCTTGTTTGTTTCCTAATTATTACTCATAAAACCAGTTGTATATGTTAAAATAACTGTTCCAAAACCTGTTTATTATCGTGTTGCATTGTAGTGTAGGTTCTTCTTCACCATTAGCATCATCAAGACTATGCTTTGATATAGTTCAGATTAATGCTCCACCTTGCAAGGTCATTTGTAAGTTGTCATTTTCAATCTGTGCAAGTTATCTTCATTGTTCTTCATTCTCTGTTGAGGCTTTCTCAAAGAATTAATGGTGATATTTTCAGTTCTATACATGCTTTTTCTATAATAAGCATGCCAGGTTCCCTGTCACATAGTTTCATATGGTGTCCCATAGAGATTTTACATGGAAGTAGTGAAGATCATGATATTTTCCAGTGGCAATATGAGAACATTCCTTATGATCTTTCATATCAAAAGTGATGCCAAATTTGCTCAGATTATACATGTAACATACAGCTTTGAAGATTAGCATTATCATCTACCACAAATATCTCAAAGATAATGGATGTACCCTTGATTTATGTTTAGCTATGATAAAAGAATTAAGGCTGGTTTTCTTGATCCCAAGTTAAGTGCCAGTGGTAGAATCAGTTTGTTATTCTTGTCTTAATGTCTTTGTTGATTGATTAGTTATGATAGTTTTCAAGACTACTCCCTGTGCACTCTCAGGGCATTGTATTCTGCGCGTGTGGCATCATGGATCTGCCCTTCAGCCATGCAAGTGTCCTATTTGCCGTCGTTTCATAACTTTGCTAATACCTGCTGATGCTGCTGTACAAGAGCGCCAGGACACAGGAGCTAGTCAAGTCCTTGAAAACATTGAGAAATACAACCGTAAGTTTGGTGGAGGCCCATCCAGTATTATACAGGTAAATTTCCTATCACATATCTATCTACTTATGGAGTTCTTCAGGGGGACAGCAAGGAAGTCATTCCCAAGGTGATCAATATACATGCTGCCTAACAAATTTTGCTTATGTCATTATTGGAAATCATTTCTTGATGAAGTGTTCAGATGAATATTTACTGGTGCTGAATATTCATCTAAGCATATTAAGTCAAATGCATGTTTTATATGAATCTTCGTTCATGATAAAGAATTGAATTTAAGAAATTTACTAGGCCAAGTGCAGCAAAAATTAATTCCAGCTGGGGAGGAAGGTTCCCAATACATCTACTCTATGCAATATTTGTTCTGTCAGAATCATATCAAAGAGAAATTGTTACATTATTGACCTATTTGTCTTCTATTTTTACCATATGAATCCTGTTCCTACATAGAAGCATCGGAGCCGACTGTACTTAGCGCATTTAGGGCTTTCTTTATCTGAGTATCTATTTATTGATTGCTTTTTCAGTTCCTATGGTACCCTAGCATTGATATAACTGAAAGTGAACTTGTTAAAAAAGTTAACTATTTTGGTTTCACAGAGGTTAAGGGATCTTCCATTCTTCATGCGAAGGCTGTTAAGAGAACTGATAGATACGCAAAGGTCACTACTGCCCCTTGTCCTCAGGGCGCGAATATTTTTTGCTGTAAGTAACAGACTACTCAGGCAAAGTGATGCATATTCAACAAAGCAGATTCCTGTAAATGTTTACTTAAACAAGGAAAATAACTATGATAATTGGTGCTCGTACATCTCATGACTTCTGTCAAACTTAGTTTGTTGCATTTGGTTGATATTTCCTGGTTGGATAAACTTTTGGGCAATCATGAAATGTCAATTTCTAATTAGTAGGCACCAATTTTTAGTTTAGGTATAAATTCTATAGGCTTGAGCTTGTCCAGAAGTAGAATCAGACAGTCCCTGCAAATAATATAAATAATATGTAACAGGCTTAGAATTTGATTCCTACAGATTGTTAAGCAAATATAGAGTAACTACACGTTAATTTCAATGAACATTGTCAATAGACATGCCTCATGCTCGCTTTGGTTTACTTTTGATGATATACTAAAATGTGATTGTCGGTCTTTCATTTTATGAGGCAATTTATTCAGATTTTATTTTTGCAGATGGCAGTAAGCGCAATATATGTGCTGAGTCCAGTGGACATTCTCCCAGAAGGTAATTCCACATCTGCATGATTCTCGTGGATATTTGCACTTGTACTGTTTTGTAGTTAAATAATTATTTATCATGCATTTTTCAAACAATTAATGTTGGCTCTTGGTACAGGAGTATTTGGATTTGTTGGTCTTCTGGATGATCTCATTGTCTTGCTGGTTGTTATCCTCCATCTTGCTACAATATATCGATCGGTACTTGTTTATCGCCATGGAGGTTATTGAATGGCCATCTCTGGCCAATTTATACGCATCCAGTAGAACTTATTGCAAGTTTTCTCTTGGGATTCACATAATTCATTTCAGCACAGCAATTCGTCTCTGAAAGTTCATTCACCTTTTATCTATCTGGTAGCTATCCTCTGCAGTTTCCTAGTATGTTATTACCACATGTAAAAGTGTACTTGCAACGGGAATTGTCATGTAAATATTTAGTACAGATATTGTGTTACTTCTTTTGTTCCTAGTATGTGGCATTCTCTATAAAGTTGCAGGCCTTGATGTGGAAATACTCGTCGTGGCAGCGATTATTAACATTATCAGCAACTATCATATCATGTACCACTGAATTTGTGTTATAAATTGTTCAAATTAAAAAGAAAAAGAATTTTTTTCAAAAGATTTATTTGAAAAGATGGTTTTTTATAATTATTTTGGTAGTTATTTTTAAAGATCGTGTCTTTTGAGAAAATATCTATAAATAGATATTTAAGGATAAATTATTGTTTGCTTAATACAGATCTTCTAAAGGCTTGTCATATCTACTAAAACTATTTACATCAAACCCATAACAATCTTATTGAGAGGAGGGTACAAATATTATTTTTAGGAAAATGTTTATACACGTTTCAAGCCTGCCTAAATATATTTCATATAGTATTCTTGATCTTGTGTTTGTTATTTGTTTTCATAGTGTTTTTATCATCTTCTTTGTCGTATTTTCTCAACAATCTAAAAATGATATTTTGTGAGTTTATATCAATTCATCATGGAGGCTACAAATACCATCAAATTATTGAATTAAGATTTTGTTCGTTTGGATTGTTTTGATGGAACGAATTTTACCCGTTGGCAAGATAAGATGAAGTTCATGTTGATTGCTTTGAAGATCTTCTTTGTGCTTGATCCAAATCTTCAACCAATTCCTAATCCAATCGATGATGACACTGATGAAGTCAAGGCTGAACAAAAGAAGAGAATTGAAGATGAAGTCATGTGTAGAGGACACATTCTCAATGCTCTTTCGGATTGACTTTATGATCTTTATACGGTAGAATCATCTGCAAAAGCAATTTGGAATGCTTTGGAATTCAAGTATCATGTCGAGGAGGAAGGTATAAAGAAATTTTTAATTTCTAAATATTTTGATTATAAGTTTGTGGATGACAAGCCAATCTTGGCACAAGTGCATGAGTTGCAGGTCATTGTTAATCAATTGAAGGCTGAAAAAATCGAACTTCCTGAACCTTTACAAGTAGGGGCTATAATAGCCAAGTTGCCTTCATCTTGGAAAGGGTATAGGAAGAAGATTTTGCATGACTCAAAGGATATCACTTTGGATCAAATTCAAAAACATCTTCGAATCGAGGATGAGAGACAAGAGTGAGAACTCTTTTTGCAATATAAAAGCAAATACCGTGAATCAGCCTAAAAACTCCAACAAAGGCAAGCAAAACAAAGATAATCATTTTGGCCCCAAAAGGGATCAAAGAAAATTTAACAAGCCAAAGAGTGGAGGCTGTTTTGTTTATGGAAACCTGATCATTTTGCTAGGGATTGTAGATTTAAGAAATGCTAGAAACCGGAAGTCAACTCTGTTGAGGGAGATGATAATATAATCGCTACGGTGAGCGAAGTGAATGCCATATTTGGCAAGGTTTCTGGTTGGTGGTATGATACTTGTGCTACCATCCATGTTTGCTATGATAAGGCACTCTTCAAGACTTACAAAGAAGTCACAAAAGGGCAAGAGATTCAAATGGGAAATGAAGTTCGTTCTAAGGTGATTGGCAAGGGAAATGTGGAACTCACTTTTACTTCTGGTAAGAAAGTCACTCTTACTAATGTTCTTCATGTACTAGATGAGTAGAGATTTAGTGAGTGAGAATCTCCTTGGCAAAGCTGGAATTAAATTTGTATTTGAATCCGGAAAGTTAATTCTATCCCGTAATGAAACTTTTGTTGGAAAAGGCTATTCCGTTGAGAGAATAATCAAATTATCTATTATTGACAATGATTCTAAATTTAATAAATATGTTGCTTCTATTTATATTGTTGATTATTATTCATTATAGTATGATAGATTAGCATATATTAGAACTAGCACTGGTTAAGTATAGCTTAATAAATTATCATTATGATGATCTTAATAAATATGAAATTTATGTTAAATTAAAGATGATGAAGAAACCCTTCAAAAGTATTGAAAGATATACTAATTTGTTAGACTTAATATATTCTGATATATGTAAATTAAATGACATATTAACGAGAGAAGGTAATAGATATTTTATTACTTTTATAGATGATGTGTCTAGATTCACATATGTGTACTTATTGAAACATAAAAAATGATGCTTTTAATGCTTTTAAGGAATATAAAACAGAATTTAAAAATCAATTGGGAAAAAAAAATTTAAAGCTATAAGAAGTGATAGAGGAGGAGAATACTTTCCTAATGAATTTAACTTGTTTTGTGAACAACATAACATAATTCATGAATGTTCAGCCCCTATAACACCTGAGCAAAATGGATTAACAGAAAGAAAAAATAAAACTTATCTAGAGATGATTAATGCTATGTTGTTACATGCTAAATTATCTTATAATTTGTGCAAAGAAGCTTTATTGGTTGTATGTCATATCTTAAATAGAATTTCCTCTAAAAAGAATAAGATCTCTCCATGTAGTTATAGAAAGGAAGACAACCTAACATTGATTATTTTAAAGTGTGGGGGTGTCTTGCATATTATAAGAATAATAATCATCAAAGGACAAAATTAGGACCTAGAGGAATCAAATGTGTTTTTATAGGCTATGCCTCAAATAGCAAAGTATATAGACTTCTTAATTTGAAATCTAATATCATAATAGAATCTTGAGATGCAGAGTTCTTTGAACATTTAATGACTTCAAGTAATAATATTCATCCTCCAACTAGTGAAGAGTCACCAGTGGAGACATCTCAAAAGGTCGATGAGTAACCTAATATTCCTTTGATTGAACATCAATCAAGTTCACAAAAGATTAAAGAGAAATCTTATGAATTAAGGAGAAGCACTCGTGTACAAAAAATAAAAACATTAAGATCGGATGAGATTGATTTTCAAAGTATTTCTTTTTACCTTGTAGAAGGAACTAATGAGAGAGTTTTAAAAATAATTCCTCTTGTTTTACAAGTGGAAGATGATCCTAAATCGTTTAAAGAAGCTATGGCCTCTCGTGATGCTGCTTTTTGGAAAGATGCTATTAATAATGAGATTGCTTCTATTATGTCAAACCACACTTGAGAACTTGTCGATTTACCTTTTGCCTCTAAACCTATTAGTTGTAGATGGGTATTTTGTAGAAAGTATCATACAAATGATACTCTCCAAACGTTCAAAGCAAGGTTAGTTGCTAAAGGATTTCGACAAAAGGAAGGAATAGATTATTTTGACACATGCTCCTATGGTTAGGATCACATCTATTAGAATTATTTTTGCTTTAGCATCAATTTTTGATCTTTATGTTCATCAAATGGATGTCAAAGCGGTATTTCTAAATGGAGACCTCGATGAGGGGGTATATATGGAACAACCCGAGGGTTTTGTTCTACCGAAAAATGAACATAAAGTGTGTAAACTTATTAAGTCATTGTATGGTTTAAAGCAGGCTCCAAAACAGTGGCATAAGAAATTTGATGCAATAATTATTTCTAATGGATTTGTTCATAATATTGCAGATAAATATATTTATCTCAAAACTTATGATGACTATATGGTGATAGTTTTCCTTTATGTTGATAATATGCTAATAGTGAGTAACGACATAAAAGGTATTGTAGAAACAAAGAGGTTTCTACCTTCAACATTTAAGATGAAAGATCTTAGGCAAATTGATACCATACTAGATATCAAGGTAGAAAGAAATAGTGGGGGATATGTTTTTAGTCAAACTCATTACATTTATCTGTTTGACCCAAGTATCAAATTAGTCAAGAATATTAGAAGAACAGTGGGTCAATTAGAATATTCAAGTGCTATAGGAAGTCTTATGTATGTAACACAGTGCACAAGACTTGATATAGCATTTGTAGTTAGTAAATTGAGTATATTTACTAGCAATCCAAATGTAGAGCTTTGGAAGGCTATCGAAAGAGTTCTTGGGTACCTTAAACGGACCAAAGATTATGGCATTCAATACTCAAATTTTTTTGCTATTTTAGAAGGATATACCGATGCAAGTTGGATATCGAGTTTTGGAGATAACAAATCCACTACTGGTTGGGTGTTCACCTTGGGAGGTGGCGTTATTTCTTGGAAGAGCAAAAAACAAACGTGTATAACTCACTCAACTATGAAATTAGAATTTGTTGCTCTAGCAGATGCAGGAAAGGAGGTTGAATGGTTGAGGGACTTTCTATTAGAAATTTCATTGACTTCTAAGAGTGTGAATTCAATTTCTATACTTTGTGATAGTCAAGCTACTTTAGCTCATACATATAGTGAAATATATAATGGAAAATCAAGACGTATAAGTCTTAGACATGATTATGTGAGAAAATTAATTAAGAGTGGGATTATTTCACTCACATTTATGAAAATAAGTGAGAATTTGGCTGACCCATTCACCAAACCTTTTACAAGAGAAGTTGTAAGATCAACATCAAAATGGATGGGGCTAAAACTCCTTGATCCACCAATGATAGCAACCCTACTCAATATTATGAAATGAGTAATAAAGAGTTCAAAGGGTAAGAACAAGTCATTGACACGTGGAGTGGTTCAGCACTTTGAAATATTTTACGAGTCCCATCTAAAGATGTTAAAGTGATGGTTGTCACCGAATGAGGGTTGAGTTAATTATACTCTTAATAAAGTTCAGTCAAGTTAGGACAAGTATCTCAAAGAGTGACAAAGATACTATAAGAACTTCACCTATATGAACTTAGAAGTGGTGTCGCTTCGATTGAGAGTTGGAGTTTCTCTCATAAAAGTTCATGAATTTGGATGAGCCCAATGCCATATTAGGGCTAAGCGAGAATTTATGAGGAATATAAGGATGTTGTATTTATGTGTGTGGTACCACTGGTGTTGTCATTGGGAATAACAAATTGAAAGCTTTTATGTTATTTGGGGTTTCGACTTCACTTTGTGATGCTTACACTAAGGTAATATTCAAATCGAAAGATATATTATTTTATTCATAAATACTATTTAATCACTTGGAGAAAATTTTAAATTTGAATAAATGGGGGATTATTATAAATTGTTCAAATAAAAAAAAATTCTTTTCAAAAGATTTATTTGAAAAGGTGATTTCTTTTGTAGTTATTTTAGTAGTTATTTTCAAAGGTTGTATCTTTTGAGAAAATATATATAAATAGGTATTTGAGGATAAATTAGATATTCTCTAATTCTTCTTTGAAGATTCTTTATTGTTTGCTCAATACAGATCTTATAAAGGTTTGTCATATCCACTAAAACTATTTGCATCAAACCCATAGCAATTTTATTGAGAAGAGGATGCAAATATCGTTTTTAGAAAAATATTTATATACGTTTCAAGCCTAAATATATTTTCTATTGTATTCTTGATCTTGTGTTTGTTATTTGTTTGCATAGTATTTTTATCCTCTTCTTTCTCATATTTTCCCAACTATTTATTTCTTTATTTCCAAGGTATCCTGGTTCTTGACTGAAGCTGCCTATGATGCAGACTATGATGAAGTGCGGTGAGACCAAACATACAAACCAACGACGACGAGCTCACCGGACTCATCAGGTTTGAGCATCCTTCCATGTCATTTGGAGTTGTTTGTACTACCTTCTCCCACTATCTTTTGCTGATCTACGTAGATAATTTCCAAACTTAAAATATATTTTAAAATATCATTTCTCAAGATTTATACTCTCTTTCAGATTTGGTATTGTATACGGATTCCAATCTCACATTCTAAGCTACCTACCGTAAATTCCTCGGTTCTCATGGTGCCAAAAGGGTTCGAGTAAATGTAACGTGCCCATTCTTCCTTTCCTTTTGTTCCTGAATTATGAGTTCATGCAGGTGTGAAGCATTCGATAGCGTGCAGGGATGGCTAATCGGGCGAATCAGAGAACCACACGGCACTTGACCCACGCCAATATCATGTTCGCATGGAAAGCAGTCTACTATAAAGGCGAACACACGGTGAGCTCTCCCCCACGTCCTAATCGTCTCCCTTGCTCTGTTATACTTCCTCTCTCATGGCGAAGTCTTCCATCGCCTGCGCAGTGCTTCTCCTGTTACTTCTGGTGGAGGTGAGTCCGTGTGTGTGATTATAACATATACTTGGGTGGGGATAATCCACAATTTAAAGGAACTTGCAATCTCTTTTAAGACTTGCAGCAAAATTATGAACATGGAAAACTGATGTAGCAAAAAAATTGAGAACTTTTTTTTGTTTTCTTTGGGTATACATACAAGCGCAACAAAATTTGTCTACTGCACTCTGAAGCCGGATCTATGAAGTCATGATTGGTGTTAACATCTGTGGTAGTGTTTGGGTGTCTCTGCTCTTTGATCGAGAACTGGAGAATAATGTTGCCGTTCAAATGCACTTTATTATGTGATTCTGCACTTGTAATACTTACCTCTCTCGTGCTGTGTTCTGCAGATGGATATCTCAGCTGTCGCAGAAAGAGAAATCAGTAAGTCAATGCACATTTCTAGCATATAGAGAGATCATCAAGTAACACAATCAGATGGATCAGTGACCTCGAATCACGGTTGGTATTGCTGCAGATTGTGAGGCGAAGTGTTCGCACCGTTGCTCCAAGGCATCAAGGCACAAGATGTGCATGAGAGCTTGCGTCGACTGCTGTCACAAGTGCCACTGCGTCCCGCCCGGTACATACGGCCACAAAGAGGAATGCCCCTGTTATGCTCACATGAAGACTCGCCATGGTAAACCCAAATGCCCTTAGAAGCTAAACCCACATAATCCTATAACTAGCAATATTGCTCTCTAATCTCGAAATAAAATAGACGTACTGGTCTATGTGCTACTGAGTGCCACTTCAATGTGTGATCCTAATCTGTAGCCCTAAATAATTAGTAAAGTCTGGTCTTATATACTCTATGTGAAAGATGTTTGACACAAAACTACAGAACAGTGAGGATTAACTACAACACAGTAAATAACCTACTTATGTGGATTTCTGTGCACAAAAATGAGTTGAGCAGCAAATGTTATGCACCGTATTTATTGACAATCTAAATTGGACGGGAAATAAATGCAGATCAAGTAAAAGATGAGTGTGTGCGTTGTGTGAGCATGCCCTCAGAGCACTGGTCTCCTCATTCTTTCCTCTCTGCCAGATGAAATAAAAAGGGGCAACTTTATTCAAATGCGTGTTTCTAAGAAACTTGGTTGATGTGTTGCCTTTTCTCAGATAGCATGTTTGAATCTATGAATGTGTAAAGAAAAACACATACCTGATGTTGGATTCAGATGCCAAGAATAAACAGGAACCTGAAAACTCACTGTTCGGGCATGGGCATCGGTCATGATGCTCGTTCCGACTTGTACCCCTTTGTTGCTCCTGATATATTCTCTGCAAAGGAAACATAATCTGGGAACAAAAACAAGCAGCCATCTGTAGGTTCAGATGCAATAACTATTTACTGATAATACCGAGTCCCTGCTGATTTGAACGATGAATTGGTAGTTGATACAAGCACAAGTTTTCATGGAAAGAGACAAGAAACGTAATAAAAGAACTTTGTTTATCTTTAAGCCAGCAAGCGATATATCGAATCCATGAAAACCTTTACTGTAACTCCATTCCATAATATTGGAACATGCTTGGATCTGAAAATGAACTTGAGAGTGCAAATTAATGGAGCATCAAGTAAAAGTCGTACGGAAACATGAAGGTGATCATATTCATGGATCAATATGATCAGATCATAAACTAAGCTAGTCTATTCATACAGCACAAATTACATAACTGGATACTGTTGTTCCGAGCAGTTCATCTTCCCTGCAGGCTGGAACTTAATTTTCTCCATTCCTTTGAATGGAACTGCAAGAGCCAGTAGCAAGGAAAGAGAATGTGCTTTCAGAGACTTCATATGCAGAGTGCGGAAATTCGGCGAGCCCCCAAATGTTACATGCGTCCAAGGTCATGGGGGAGAAACAACCATGGCCATCATCAACTCCTTTTATATCAGGACTTTGGGCATCGAGTGAGGTGTTCCCACTGAAGTTATAGCCCATATTCCCTGGCATTCCACTTGATGCTTCACTGACCTGTGCTTTATCTGATGTTACTAAAACCTTAGCATCATCCATGGGAATGGCCGGTGCATGGCCTTGGAAGAGAGCAACATGACCAAACAACTTATCCTTTCTCGAAAAAGTTGTCCCGCATGAGCAAATCCACTTGTCCCTCCCACAGTGCTTCTCATGAGTTTTCAGGTCAGCAATGATTGAAAATTTCTTGGTTCTGCACCTACTGCAAGTGTAACTCTTATCGCAGTGGCTTCTCTTGTAATGGTTCTTCACGCACAGAATTGTTTTGAGAGGTTGGAACTTCTTGTGTTCCTTATTCCGCTTGCAACCCACAAAGGGGCAAGAATATCTCCTGAGGGGTTGTGGTTCTATGCTTGCTTCCTTGCTAGGCTTAGCAAGGGCAGCTGGACTCTTATACTCGTCGCCATGACCTCTCATGTGCATTCTTAGGTTTGCATCTCTCTTGAATCCCTTTCCACAGATCAAACAGAAGTGAGTATGTGGAGCCAAAATCTCCTCCTCCTCCAATTGCAGAACTTCATAAGAACCAGGTGGGAGGTTCTCTCCATCCATACCATCATCATTATCCTTTGTGTCATGGTCTTCAATTGGAATGGGCTCAGATGCTTCAACCCCAGAATTATTTGAACATTTGATTAACTCATCTTCTTTACCACCACAACTATTCAAATCTTTAATCAACGAATCATACTGAGAAGCTTTAGCTACCTCCACAGGCAAGATCTCATGTTGTTTCTGATTACTGCCTGGCCGACCAACAGCAGGATTAGTTGACAGGAGAGCATTCTTGATGTCAGGAAGAAGAGTGCCAGCAGTCGAGATCAATTGAATTATGATATAAGTTAGATCAGCTGTAACAAGCTGCTGCTGTGCTGCTAACTCATTAGCTTGGTCAAGGAACTGATCTTCATGACTAATTATGGAACGAACAATATCCTGAACTTGGTGGATCTTTTGCTCAAGGAATGACAGGTTGCTCAGCATCAATCTAGGGTTCCAATCCATGACTGGATCATCTACTGGAGAAGGTTCATGTTGTTTTTTGGATTTTGTCTCTCGGTCAGGACCAAACAAGCCACTGGACTGGGTTACCAAAGGTGGAGAAAATTCCAGGAAGGATCGACCATGTCTATCACCACACCACAAATTTGTGGAATCAAATGGGGCGAATGGCAGGTCTGGTTTCCGATTTCTCGGAGACTCACTCATCATTGAGCAGGAAGATTTTGATGATGCTTCCGGAGGTCTTCTTCGTTCGGGAACCATCTTAGCTCCTCTCTCTATGAAAACAAGTCCACACCATCAACTCTAGTTTTTGACCGAGATTTTTGTCAGTAAACCAGGTCCCAGAACAAACCTGTAGCAGTAACCAAGCAACAAAATTAGACAACCACATCAACATGGAGTTGTACAATGGAAAGTGTAAGGAAAAGAAGGAGAAAGTTAAGAGGAAATGAAACACTTTGATAACCATAACGTCATGAAAATTATGGTTTTAGGAGAATTTCTATTACTAATCAACAAACAAGAAACAACAGACCCAATGGATATACCTCAAGCTCGTATTCTTTCTACACAGACAAACAAAAGACCATATCTCCATAACCACACCATTAAATCAGCCAAGGTATTAGGTCGTTCTACAACCAAAGAAGAAAAAGCCAGTACTGGTTATCCAAGTCTACATTTTTTATGTACTTTCTCCTATCTTTGTGTTGAATCAGATGATGAGATCTTTTAGTTTCCAAAAATTTCTGTAAGTTCTTTCAAGCTTCAAACCATTCCCTTTTGTTTTCCTTGTTTCTTCATATTTTTATCAGGAAAAAAAGAAAAGATTAGGCCTTAAGAATACAACTTTGATGGATTCCAACAATATCACTCAATATGAAAAGCTAAAGTTGAAGAAAGGAACTATCTTAACAATTATACGAACAAAAATCCCCCTTTTGGTAATTCTGGAGGAAGAATAACATCATGTACAAACACAACATGCAAGAGGGCAACTATTTCCACATCCCCAAAATCTCATCTCTTCCAGATTCTGTTAGCAAGACACTATCAAGAGAAGTGAACATCGATGATCAAGCAAGAGTACTATGGGTGCATGTTCCAAGGAAACAGCTAGCTCGTCAATCTACCAAGCAAAAGATAGTTGGCAGTCAAATTAATCTAATCCAAACCCTCCAAAAAACCTTTTAATCGGAAGATCTCACAACATCCAGCAACAAATCAGCCAAAAATCTCAAAATCTTCGAAAAGGGACACCCCCAAAAATCTCTTTTTTTCCGATTCCTCCATCACCAAATCCCCCAAAAGGAAGAGAACTACACATACAAAGAGATCAATCGAGCTTCGAGCAGCACACGGAGATCATACCCCACCTTCCCTCGTGCAGCTCATCACCTTCGATCCATCTCCGAATACACAAACCTATTTACTGCATCCAAGTCGCGATCCAACTCCACCTCCTCGTCCATAGAAATCTCCGCTCTCTGCTCGCTTGACCTCGCTGCTTCCTTCGCCACCAAATAAGTAGGACGGAGAACTGGTTTCTGGTGTTCCTCCATAACTATCTTTATTAACCTACTCCATATTGTAATACAATAATAGAACACCATATCTTTTAATGTTAGAAAAAGGAACCAGTTAACAAATATAACCAGTGGAGGACCAACAGAAGCAGACGGCCGTCGCGGTCGGTCACTCACGGTCATTCTTTCTTCTCTCTGCTCAAAGCCTCTCAGTGATTGATGCATTATCACTCATCATTAAGGGCCCAAAAACTCAGCCCATCAACCAAAAAGGATTAGATGATTAGGAATCATCTGCTACAGCTTACATGCTCGTGCTATTGATTTGATCTGACAAATTGATAGTTGTGATCGTATTTGGTTTCTCATGAATGTCCAAGAATGCTTGCTGTGCTTGAATTGTAGTGTTCTACTTGTACTTGATCAATGTCTGTATCAGTAGACTTACTTGGCCTTCTTGACAAAAGCAAAACAGGGAATACATGATTGGGGTTACAGAAAGCCTGTGGAGGATCACTGGATCATTTAGGTACAGTGTTATACCTTAATGATTCTTTTAAGACCATCTCTCTTACTTACCTGGCTTGCAATCTAAAACAAAGATTTTTTAGTCTGAAACACTGAGAAATGAGTGTAAAGATGAACACCATGCAAGGGGGATGTTTAACTTCAGTGAGAAATATTTTAGATCAATATGAACAGATTTGATGAAGGCCTTTAAAATGATATGTCGGTGAAGGTCATTGTAATGTTCAAGTGGCTAATATTCTCACTTGCAATGTCTCCATCATGTCGAAGTTTTCACACAGTTTTCTCATGCTAGGAATATTTCTTTCATGGCAACTCTGCATTGCTGAGCCATAGAAATATGCAAAGTATCTGCCAGGTTCAAAGCCAGAGAGCTGCAGCAGATCTGCACATGAATTGCATGAAGAAGATGGAAAACCTTTGGGATATTATACTTTCACACTTTGTTAACCTAAGTGAATGTAAATCTTTGTTCAGCTTAAGTTTGATGTATAGATAAAACAATATAGGACTTTGTTTCTCTTCAAGGAGGCTTCCAAATGACTGAATAGTTAATGGTACTAACACTCTTGATCTTGTGGATGATGTACGCAAGCAATAGAAGAGAGAGAGAGAGAGTGTGTGTGTGTGTGTCTGTGTGTGGGATACAGAAGGAGAACACTTGTGTTATGCTGGAGTTAAAGAGCCAAACTGTGGTCCAGGGAAAGCATGGAAAGAATGGATAAACATAGAAAGAACAAGATTCTATATGTCTAGTTGTTGCTTGATCCTCTTCTCTAAAGGAAAGAGTGGATAAACCTGAAAGTGCACTTTGTATTGATCCAAATGTCCCAATTCAATTGAAATGATTCCCTGGTGGGCCTTACTGAACAAGCATCATCAGTGTCATTAACTGTGATTGAGCAAAACATGTTTTCATCTTGGATTAAAATTGTAGGTTGAGATTAAACTTGATATTTTTATGCAGGAAAAGTGTAGTTTCCTTTTCTCTGTTCAGCCTACTCCTTGCTAAAAGAATTAGCAACTGAAGCCTTGTACACCATGTCTACTTTAAATTGTATTCTGAAGAATTTCTAGAAACTTGTAGAAGGAAATCCATCAATTCTTTATCTTGAATTGTTTTCTGATGAATTCCTAGAAACATGGAGAAGGGAATCACAGAATTCTATATGCTTAGTCATGGCTCCTCTTGCTGTTCATGACACTAAACTAGAAAGCATGTGGAGTTGAAGTGACACAGGCAGGCATTGCCTTCCAGTTCACCAAAAGCATAAACAAGTGTTAGTGTTGTAAACCATGACAAACAGGAACATGTGCCATTCTGGGATTGAATGGTAGATCAATCACACTTCACAGCTTTGTTATTTGATACTTTGGCTTTTGCTGCACCTAGATTGGTTTGATTTGTTTTAAGAGAAGACAGATTGCCTTCAAAAGATCAGACTTCTGAACTGGTAGAACTAAGTTCATGTCCATTAGCCATTAGACTGCATCCAACTCTGGACTGATATCAAAATAATGAAGCAACAAGAGGTGCAATTTTTCCTTGATCCTTGTCACTCTCTCATAGGTGGAAGACTGACATTTGCTGCTAAGGTCTATGCTTGCGTGCAAATATGTGGATTCCCCTCAATCCTTGCTTAGAATTAGCAGCTGAAACAAAGTTTCAAGAGCATGCATATTTTTAATTTCCTCCAAGAATTTCCTGAAATTTGTATCTGTGGGAGATGGTTCCTTTTATTATTGCTATTACTACTACATTGAGGATGAATTAATGGACTCCATAACTTATGGCATTTGCTTGATTTGCCAAGATAAGACAAGTTTGTCAATGGAAAAGGCAACAGCAGAATATTTTCTTTTATTTGCTGAGATTAGATTGGAATCTCAACCAGAAAAAGTAGCAAGAAAGAACCAAAGAGAATGGAGCAGAGAGGCAATGGGTGTTGTCATGATGCCAATGATCTGAAGATAGGATCAGATTAATTTGCATGGTATAATCATGCAGAAACACAGAAGAAAAAAAGAAGACCAGTAAACTAAATTTTCATCAATTTTCAGCATCAGAAACTACAGGAGGATTCATCAAAGTATGCACCTGAATAGTGACTTAAAACAATCAAGTTTGTATCCAAACTACAACCTTAAAGAGCAGAATGTTGCAAGATTAATAACAAGATTAAGATGCAATGGGTAAAAATAATTATCAAGTTAAGCTGCTAGTGTTGCAAATCTCCATAGACTGATCTGAGCTTTGTGTTCATCAAAATGAATCATAGAGACTGCCACATTGTAGACACAAACCCAAAATAAATGTCCACTTCAATGTGGTATGTTTGCATCACAATGGCATCATATTGAGACCAAATTAAATCAGGCTTACTGGTTAACCAAATGTGAGCAAATTAAGACTCAAGTTGAAGTCTGAAAGATTTCATGAAGCATGTTTTCATATTGTGAAGGCTGGGAAAAGTGCTTGGGCTTAGTCCAAGTGAAACTTACAAGCCACTCCTTTTTGACTACTGGTTCTTGTAAGAGGAGTCAAGCAAAGAAAAGAACAGAATTTTGAGGAAGAAATTAAGAGCTAATTCTTTTTTATGAAGAAATGATTTGAAAATAGGACTAAAATAGTATTATATTAATAAAGGATTAAAAATATCAGATGATATAGATTAGATTTGATAAGATTAAAATATTTTATTTTGATGGTATCCATCCTATATGATAATCTTAAGAAATTTGATTTTGTTTGAACTTGAATACCTATAAAAAAAAGATTCCAACATAGCATTAGAAATGACACAATTTTATTGTGTGAATAGACATAAATAATTAAGAATATATATATATATATAACTTACTATTAATCAAATTATCTTGGTTTCCCTTTCCCCCTCCATCTTGTGCAGTATATTTCTATACAAAATATTAACTATATTTTGTGTGGAGATTCAGCTTCCAAATATATATCAAATATCATCATAATATTTTCATGACATAAAACAATTACAAAAGAAAAAAAAATTCAATGTTGTACACTTTTAGTGCCATTTCTAATAAAAATAAATGCTGTGAGAACATAATATTAACAACTCTTCTTTTTTATTTATTAGTTTTAACACCTTTTGTGAAACAAATTCTTGGATGGTTATAATAAATTGTCTTCATAAGATCTTATTCCTTCAAGGAATAAGATCTTTACGGTATCTTTGATTTCTACGATGTCTCCGTGCCTTACGATTCAACCAATGTATCACCAAATGTGCACATCAGATTGGGTGTTTTTCATTTTTGTTTCACTACTTATACCAAAAGTGACTAAATGTCTAATAAATGTTTTTCAATCTAACATCTATTATTATATGTACAAAATCTTCAAACAAAGAGGGGAGGGTAGAGGTGGAGTAAGCATTTCTTATTCTCTCTCCCTGCGACCTAAATCGACTTCCTTCATCTCTTTCATTACTTTTCGGAACCCCAAACATTGTAGTGCACTCAAAGAGAATGCATTGTAGGACATCTAAGAAGGTTCGTTCTCTAGGGCTTACTACGTGCTTCACGTACCATCTTCTTCAACCTGTGGTGGTCTGCAGGTGAATTGGCAATGGAGGTGGTGGACTCTTGCGTTCCACCTGGTTTCAGATTCCACCCCACCGAGGAAGAGCTCGTCGGATACTACCTTGGGACGAAGGTGGCTTCTCAGAAGATCGATCTTGTTGTCATTAAGGATGTCGATCTCTACGGAATAGAACCATGGGATCTCCAAGTTTCGTGATCTCTGTCCATGGAGAACTTACTGTAAGATTCTTATAGTAGCCTTAAACTCTCTCTCTCTCTCTCTCTCTCTCTCTCTCTCTCTCTCTCTCTTCGATCGATATATAGACAGGTGCAGACATGGGCATGACGAGCAAAGGGAGTGGTACTTGTTCAGCCACAAGGACAGGAAGTATCCAAGTGGAACTCGCACCAACAGAGCCACCGCTGCTGGATTCTGGAAAGCAATGGGGCGAGACAAACCGGTGATTTCGAGCTCCCGAGTCATAGGGTTGAGGAAGACTCTTGTGTTCGACAAGGGAAGAGCTCCAAATGGGAGGAAGACCGATTGGCTCATGCATGAATACCGTCTTCAATCTAGTGAACTTGCATCTTCTCAGGCAAGTCAGTCGACTGCATCATTCTGCACTTGGTATCATGCTCATTCAATTACAGGAATTGCAGGAAGAAGGTTGGGTCGTATGTAGAGCATTCCAAAAGCCAACACCTACTCAAAGGCCATGCGCCAGCAATGTTAGTGCTACCTACAACAACAGTCTTGAAACCACAGTGAGCATGAGAGGCAACTTTTGTGATGAGAGAGCTGTTGGGTATAGCATCATTCCACGGGCGGAGATTCTTGAAGGTGATGTTGTAGGCAGTGATGAGACGAGTGCCGGTAAGAAGAGAAGCAACCGTAATGAGCATATGATGGATTGGAAGGTTTTGGACAAGTTGCTCTCCTTGTCACAGTCTAATGAATCAAGCACAGCATGTTTTCTTCCACAGTTTGATAGCTCATGATGCCGACATTAATGGTCTCTTCAGCTGTTATGTTGCTAATAAAGCATGGTAGCAAAGTCAAAGAGTTCTCCCATGCAATCATAAGTAGTAGGAATGTAGTGATATGAAACAAGCCCTGATTGATTTCTGAGTTTGATGAGAACTTGGTTTGTACTGTTAATAAACCTTGTAATATGATGCACTCATGTTTTGGTAGCCAGTAAGATCAGCTGTATGAATGTGTTTGACATGTACAATAGTTGATGAAAATAGTTAATCGAATGATTTCTTGGAGAAGAATTAAGAAATGCACTTTGAACAAACAAGCTTAACTTAGATTCAAAGAATTGGGTAGGCATCACAATATGACAGTTGAAGTTTTTGGATTGTGTTGATATATGATCTCATATGTGTTAACTTAGATGTTAACCCTTAATACAGGAACTCCATGATCAGCATAGTGAAAATTGATCATATTGCTAATATATTCACAGATGAGAGATAAAAAGAAAAAGTCTAAAGAACTTTGTACAGCATTAAAAAATATAATGTACATATACGGATCATATCATAACTATACTACTGGTGTCTATAACAATTGTTACTTTGAAATAAACATCTATTGAGATGCATAGTAACTTCTAATATAACCCATACACAGCATTTATACTATTAGCAATTCTAATGTAGTTTATAATCTCCATATTCTCTGAGATATCATTCTTTTTAAGCTGCTCTGTAAACTGTTTATATATACACACACACACATATATACATATGTATATATGTATATATATATATATATATATACATACATATATATATATATACATACATATATATATATACATATATATATATATATATACATATATATATATATATATATATACATATATATATATATATACATATACATATATATATACATATATAAAGTAAAATAAACATATCATAAGAAATACTTGGCTTCAAATCTTAAAATAACTCCATAAAATTCTTGAATTACTACACAGACATACTTGTAAAATAAACGGGTCATCCATCACAAGCAGCAGAGGAGTAGGCAAGATGGTTTGTATCTTACATCAATGAGATCCATACTTACATGTCAATTGATGTGGAACTCTCCACTAGCATGGACTGCCTTCACTGTCTTATCATACTCGTCATCCTCTTCTTCTTCTTCCACCTCTTGGTTCTCTTCCTTATTATCCTCTTCTTCAGAATCGGCCTCGGACCACCCAAAGCCTGAAATCGACCGAGATGGCTTTGGAAGTGTCCTAGCTTCTGTTAATATCTTCCTGATCTCATCGATGCTCTGGGTGGAGAAGGGGGGAATGCTGTTGTCCCTCCTGTAGTACACTGCTTGTGCTGCTTCTGTGAGCTCCCTGGGGAGATTCTTCAGGAACCAAGGGTGGGTTCTTATCTCCCTCATTTTGATCCTCTGCATCGCATTACATTACATGCCAATCCAGTCATACCATTCTTCTACAAGTAGAGCGTGGAAAACATTTCAAAGAATTACCCTCATCGGATTGGCGTCGAAGATGCGGGAGATGAGTTGCCTGCAGTCTTGTGATATGTGAACATAGTCTGGTATCTTGTACTGCACCGACATTATTCTCTGCAATCACAATGGTTATTGGGTTATGTCAAGATAAATCAAAGAATTCTAAAGAAAAAAGATCAGTTTGCAGTCTTACTCTGATGGTCTTCCTGATGTTCTTGGGATCGTTTTGGTCCTCAAAAGGGTAGGCTCCCACCAGCATGACATACAGAGTTACTCCACATGACCATACATCTGCTTGCTACACATTTTTCTAGCACAAAATTAGATGCACAAGTAACATGTTGCTTAAGTTGAAAACACAACAGGCAAACTGCTGTGAACTGGAATATACATTAGGAAAGACTACACCATGCAATAGCAGTCATCTAGTAGGCCACTTCCGTTTGGAAGAGAAGGTTGTCAGGAAAGAAAAAGACACTACAGATTCTACAATGAGATACCACTCTCGTTGTTTATTGGGAAAAAGAAAATGTGATGTGTTGCAAACAACAGCATCTGCGAAATTGGAGATGAAAGAACAACATGGAGTAGATGAAAGGATAATGTCATCAAAAGAAATATGGAAGAATAATTTGTCTTGTTCTTGAATTGATGCATAGCCATATAACACAACATTCACAATAACAAGTCAACTGCAACTGATTCATTCCATGAACACAAATCCACAAGCTAGACACAGGCCTATAAAAATCAACCATACTCTTTTGTACTTTGATGTAAAGTTTATCACAAAGATCACCATTTACTTTGATCGGTCTACATCACTGTATGTATCATTCAGTTTGTAGGACAGGAGATCAAAGTACCCCAAGACCATATTGATTTATCTACCATTATAATGAGCCAAAATAATCCATCCGAAAGGCTAATTGTTTCTCTTCCTTGTCCATATAAAACATTTCAAGCAATTATCTTTCAGAGCAGCTTCTTTTTCTTGCAAATTAACAGGTCAAAATATCATTTTGACCAAGTATCCTTTGACAGTCAGGTGTTTTCATCAAGGACCATCCAATGTGACAATGTCCATCCAGTAATTGATGGGACAGATTCATTCCCGTCAATAAACGAAGAGGAGGATTCCAACAAGAGGACCAACCTCGTTCCCCCCCACCTCTTCCCACCCAACCTCAACGGCACCAGACGTGGCCCCCAAGCCACGTGCCTGGTCCTTTCCGGCCCATTCACGAATCTTGAGGCGGGGCCCCTCTGTTAAAGGGTCCAGATCCGTGCTTCCCCGCTCCCCAAGACGCAGTCCTCATTGACTGCATAGTATCGACACTATCGATGGAGACCATATGCTGGTAGTGATCAAGTAAACGAGGGAGGAGGAGCGGGTCACCTTTCCGTCGTACTCACGGGGGGAGAGAACCTCCGGGGCGATGTACGCGGGCGTCCCCACCGTCGATTTCGGCCTCGAGTGCAGCAGCGACGACTGCGACAACGGATAGAGATTCTAATGGTACGTGTTGATGTTTTGAGCTGCTAATAATCGGGAGAAGGGGAACACCTTGGAGTAGCCGAAATCGCAGATCTTTAGGCGCGGCGCCGGGCTGCCATCGAGCAGGGTGTTCTCCAGCTTCAGATCCCGGTGGCAAATTTGCTGAAGGGTTGTTTTACGTATCGAATATAGTTGTAAGTTCATATTAATCTTCGATTTTGGGGTTAAAAAAGCAAATTTTAGGGTAATTTTGTACCCTGAGATGGCAGTAGCTAACACCGCAGATGAGTTGTTGGAAGAAATATCTCGCCTGCAAAAGGAAATCGATACTAATTCTCGAGTTTGTGAAGAAGACGATCGAGAAGGGTAAATTAGGGAACCTCGTCTTCGCTGAATCTTCCGGCGTCGCAGATCCGCTCGAAGAGCTCGCCGCCTGCGGCGTACTCCATCACGATCGCCAGATGCGTCGGCGTCAACACAACCTGAAGAGAGAATTCCGATGCCAATCATAAAGAAAAGCGAGGACAAGAGGGGGGCCGCTCTTCGATTCGAGGGAATCCCCAGACCTCCTTGAAGCGGATGATGTTGGGATGACGAAGCGACCGGTGGTTGATGATCTCCCTCGCCACGTTCTCATCTATCTACTTCCCCAAAAACCACAAATCAGAAAAAGAAGGAGACGCGAAAGAAAACCAAACGAAACCAAACCAATCCGATCGATCGAGCGAACGAGCAATGGAGCTCACCCGTTGACCTCGCTCGATGTGCTTCATGGCGACGAGCTCCTTGGTGTCCCTGTGGCGCATCAGCTTGGCCACACCAAAGTTACCAGATCCGATGTCGCGCACCACCTCGTACTTCTCCATCCTCCTCTACCTTCCCTCCTCGCCAAGCTCGAAAGCCTTCGGCTTTACCAGCAACAACCACAGTCGTCTCTGGACTCGGGGGAAGGCTGGTCTATACTTGGTGCCCGCTTCCTTACCTTCCTCATGATTGAATATTTTTTGGTACCCCACATGTTGGTCCTCCGCGGGGCCCAGAAACGGGTACGGAACAGAAGTTACGCTACTAGGCGGCTACGATTGCTTCCTTGCTGCGCCAGTGGCGATTGGACGAGTGGGGCGAACAATTCGGATTGGGTAACTAATGTAACATATATATATATATATATATATATATATATATATATATATATATATATATATATATATATAATTTTATGAGCATCCAAAATTGAAGCCAAACACGAAATATAATATCGGATTCCTCGAAACCTAACTTCTTGTAACATTCGAGTTGATGTCGGATTGCATATGGAGGTTGTACGAGACACCAATTACATTAATTTTAGTTAAAAGCATGCTTTTGTACCACCAAGGAATATATTATTCTATATATATCACTGACGAATTATTGCACGTCACTCACCCATAGAATTATGTCGGACTCCTCTTCCTATTCAATAGCCAAAACTAGTGGAGTCATCAAATCACATGCCACCACTCTTAAAGACTATATTGGAAGGCAGACAAATCGCCACGTTTGATCTTAGTCATGCTCACTCGATTCTGCGTCCATCTACGTGTCTTTTGCATGATGGAATCCTTATTTTACATGTGTGGCTTTGTCCGATCTAAGAAAAAAAAAATTACAAGAGGATCTTTCTTTATAGATATGTAATAGAAAGGTGATTAGATATGTTCATGTTTCATTTATTTTATGATATTTTCTATTAAAAAAAGGGCATTAAAGAATGCCCTTTTGGCCAATCATGCCATACAATCCTCGCCCATGACAAGCTAACCTTGTACTTAATATGACTGCTTTCATACATCACAAGATAAACATTATGTAACAAGACATTGAATCAAACTTTGTGTTCGAATAAACTGAGTTCAGTCAAATTAAGTTAGGTATGGTCTTTGTTTGTACATATTCTATGATGCTGTTATGAATGCTGAAGAAAGATTATATGTAAACAAAACAGGTCCATATAAGACAAATGATTATATGGTGAAACAGATTTACCTCCCCATCACAGTTAGCCAAGAGCACACAAACATTTATGTGCCAAATAGATGTACCTCCGGGTGGTGTCATGAGTATCCTCCATCGATATAGTGAATTTACTATTAAACGTATAAGCTTATTGAGATATTTCTTTCCGTTTTATATGAAATTTTTGGTGAGATAAAATTACATAGGCTGTCCAGTCGAAAGTCATCTGTTGGCGAGGAATGATCAAGTAGGCAGATCAGGATCTTTTTGGTTACAAGGTGTTTTTCCGGGATTGGATTGTTCTAGTATCCTCAGGTGACTTATGATCTTGTATAATAGGTCAACGTCGATGATTGTTTGATGTAATCCTTTCGATGCTTAAGTCAACGAAGGAAAAAAGATAGTAAGATAAACTGTATGATTGATTTAGTGTGTAAAGAGTCCCCTCTTTTAGCGTGAGCTGATTAATTTCTTTTTATATTTGATCTCTAAGTTTTTTTTATTGAATGACCTGAGATAAGATTAGATGAATTGTCTGATCATTATCTGATTTTGATAGGGTATAACGATTATTACTTGATACATTCAATAGCACTACCATATTATTTTGGAGCTAATTGATTTGGAACCATACTTAAGTTGCCATGAGACAAAATTATCTTTTTCACCTCCAATTATGATTCTTAAATATACTCACAAACGATATTAATCTTATATATATATATATATATATATATATATATATATATATATATATATATATATATATAAAAGGATGATATATATAGATAAAAAGAGATGGTTTTCGTGACTAAAATCTTGATAATTTAAACTACAAAAGCAGAAACATTTGGATCGGTTTAAACAGATCGGATAGATTTTAATATATGATAGAAAAGGATTTGATCCACAACACACGATACGGGAAATGATTAAGGCATTCGGACCCTTTGGGTCCCACTGGGTACCAATTGGGTACAGTGTCTGCGTGCAACATGAAAAATAGGAAGGAAAAATCTATAAGCCAAGATATGGGGATGACGTGGCAAGATTTTAGTAGCTTCTCGGTCAGCGGGCCCCGCGGGAGCTTGTGGAGGCTGCCGCGTCCACCTCGGCGGCCAATACGTCGGTCGTAAGTCCACGTGTCGACTCGTGGGCGGCCGACCCAGATTTCGTGCGGCGCGCTCGGGCTCTTATCAGCGCCCGCCGCTCGCCAACCCGATTCCCCAAATCGGGCATCCAAACGAGGGGCACCAGGTCCGGTCTTGTTTCCGCCCCTTGCCGGCCATGGCGACGGCCGCAGCAGCGTTGTCTCTCCTCCCCGTTTCGCTTCGGCGCCCGCTGACGTCCTTCTCCAAGAAGGTAGCTCTCCGTCTCGAGAGGATTCATCCGCTTGTTCATGTTTGTTTGTCGAAGCTTCGGCATCCATTTGCCAAGATTGCATCTTGGTGAACATCGTATAATCTTCGCCTCCACAGTGTGCTGTGTGATCGGAGAAGATCGCTTGGCTTCGATCATAAATTTGTGGGTTTTGACAAACTAGGGAGTCAAATTTTTTGCAGACATGATGGTGTCAGAGCATGATTTGAAGACCAACTGAGATCATCATTTTCTGAATCCTTTTGTTAATCTTGTAGAAAGGATTTCCTCAAAAAGAAATGCATTTTGTAGAAAAGGACATAGACATAGTTCTTCTCCTCAATTGTAAGTAATGGTGAAAAGGTAGTTTTGTTGTTAGAAAGCATACATCTCCTCATGCTTTTATGCCATGCTATTATAGTTGCATTTTCACTGAAGTCTTGAACCTGTCTAAAAGTTTCAGTTGTCATGTCACCAGACGTTTGACTAACCAGCACAGTTCAGGACTGTGACATTTAGATTGTAAATCATGGTATTCTAATATAGCATGAAGAATCCATTTTTTTCCTATTGAGACAAAACTGACCTACACAATGAACTAGTGATCCAGCATGCTGAAGTCAACATTTTCTTAAATATTTTGAAGGTTTTTTTTTTGGCAATATCTATACTAAATTGTATTTTATCTTCGAAATGTTTAGCTAAAAAGCATCTTCATCCAAGGAGATGTATTTTACATGTCAAAACCAGCATCCTAAACAACTGTTCATTTATGGTACCTTAATGGTTTCTCTACTTGGAATATCTGTTTCAGATTAGCTGTGAATAGTTATTTTAATAGGCTTAGGTTTTCTACTGTTTTTCCTAATTTTGATATATTGTTGAATCAAATGAGTTGAAAGAACACATGCATTCACCTGAACTACTCTTTTTTGTTTTTGCTGTGTTGAACTTGTGAAGGGTAATGGTGGCAGAAACGGAATAAAGGTTTTTGCTGTGTTTGGAGAAGAAGAGAGAGGTAGCTTGGAGAAGAGGAGCACTTGGGAAGCCATTTTTGATGTGGAAGATCCTAGGCCTAGAGTGCCACATTTTAAGGGGAAACTCTTGGATATGAACCAAGCTCTGGAAGTAGCCATGTTTGATATTCAATATTGTGACTGGAGGGCTCGTCAAGACTTGCTAAGCATTATGCTTCTTCATGAGAAGGTGCTTATGATCCATGTTTCTTGAACTTTCCATGATATACACATTTAGAGTCATGCTAGCACTATACTAATCTAATCACGAAAAGGTCTTCGTATCCTGGATGACATGTAGGTCATGCTGCTAAAGCTTATCTCCTGGATGACATTGCAAATACACATCCTTTTAAGTCAATAATAGCTTCCTGCTTTGCTCATGTTTGAAATTGCCATTTTCAAGATTGTAATCTGAGCTTCTATCAGATTGCCAACAAATAATACAAAACATTCTGGTAATGCCTGTTAAGAATCGAAAAAGGCCTTTGGCATTGTAGCTAAAGCATTCATATATTCTGAGCTACTATCTCCTTGGCTAAGAACCTGGAAAATATATCTAACATGAAGTAATGCATACCAGATTTATTCCGATTGCTTTATTTCTGGTTAAGCAGGTGGTCGATGTCCTTAACCCTTTAGCTCGTGAGTTCAAGTCAGTTGGCACCATGAAGAAGGAACTTGCAGAGTTGCAGGAAGACCTTGCACAGGCCCACAGGGAGGTATGGGAGTGTTTCTAATTGCATCCTGACTAGTTTCTGCTTGGATAAATCTTGATCATCATGATAACTACTTGCATAAATGTATCAGGTTCATATATCAGAAGCAAGGGTAGGTGCAGCATTGGACAAGTTAGCATACATGGAAAAGTTGGTGAATGAAAGACTATTAGATGACAGGAGATCAGATCAATTTAATTCTGAGGCACAATCTCCAAGCATTTCTTCATCATCCATAGAAACCTCACAAAATAAGTTGCCCAGAAGAGGGCTAAATGTCTCTGGTCCTGTCAAATCATACCACCCTAACTTGAAAAACTTTTGGTATCCAGTGGCATTCTCATGTGATCTAAAAGATGATACCATGGTAAGTAAGCCCTTATTCTATATTAAGAGAGATAACCTTGGCTCTGGTTCTGCTTCTGTTCTCTGCATTAAGACTTAAATGCTTTTTCAGATACCAATAGATATTTTCGAGGAGCCATGGGTCATATTCAGAGGAAAAGATGGTCAACCAGGCTGCGTTCAGAACACCTGTGCTCACAGAGCCTGTCCTCTTCATCTAGGATCAGTGACTGAAGGCCGTATTCAGTGCCCTTACCATGGTAAGTTAGAGAAAAACATACATATTTCATTGGATCAGAATTTGCTTGTACCATCAGTGGGAGCCTTAAAGTTGAAAATATGCACATAAAATTTAATGTTTTGAAGTTCATATAAAGAATTTTGGTTTTCAACTCTTGATACAGTCGGCATTCTTATTGTAACTGTAGACACCATTCCATTATATTCTCAATCTGAACATATTAATAATATATTGATTCCAAAATAATGTAAGACATTAATTTTTTTTATTCTGGATGTTTTAATGTTGTTGCATGAACCATAGAATAAGCAAAATATTCTGGTTTTCTTTCATGAAATACACACTGGATGTATTCTTTTGTAGTATACATTCTCATCTGCTCAAGCAAGAATTAAGGTTTTCGCATGGTTCATGGTTCATTAAATTTCAGGTTGGGAATATTCAACTGATGGGAAATGTGAAAAAATGCCATCCACCAAACTGCTTAATGTGCGGATTCGATCATTGCCATGTTTCGAGCAAGAAGGAATGGTTTGGATTTGGCCAGGTGAAGCACCTCCTATGGCTACTATTCCTTCTTTGAAACCTCCCCCAGGCTTTAAAGTTCATGCAGAGGTATAGATTTGAGTTTGATGATATGGTGCATTATTTCTCTGGAAAATGTGCTGCAACTTCTGAATACTGTACTTTCCTAATAGTTTACAATGTGCTTGGTTCTAATCTTGTTTCATCTGTATACAGATTGTGATGGAGCTGCCCATTGAGCATGGGCTTCTTTTGGATAACCTCCTTGACCTTGCTCATGCTCCATTTACTCACACCTCAACATTTGCCAAGGGATGGAGTGTTCCAAGGTATCTTTTGCGATTTAAATTGAACCCAGAAGCCAATAGAATCAATAAGAATGATACTGGAGTAGTTTTGTGGTTGCATCAACCAAATCGAGATGCCAAAAAGAATCACTTCCTTTGTGCAAAGAATAATTAAAAATAGAAGAATATGTCACTGTCAGAAAGATGATCCTATGCTGTTGTGAGTCAATGAACTTGATCCTTTTACCATTGCAAAGTGATGCGCTGAACATAATTTATGCTGGTGATTTTCACAAATTTTGTTACAATCCATTTTTTCCTTGTAATCTTGAGGGGAGAGGATTTCTGCCTAGTTGGGTTAGTATTTAGGTGTAAGATGTGCACAATTTCATCAATCATAATGCTTTAATGTCCTCCATGGCCATGCAATTATGTCCAAGGAAACTTGAGCTTATACTTCATGTAAACCAGAACTCCTTCAAACATAAAGAACTATTCCATCTTTTTCAGTTCACTAATCCTGGACTAAAATATCATCTGAAAATGTACAGCTTGGTGAAGTTCCTCACACCGGCATCGGGCATGCAAGGGTACTGGGATCCTTATCCTATCGACATGGAATTTCGGCCTCCTTGCATTGTCTTCTCGACAATCGGAATTTCAAAGCCTGGAAAACTGAAGGGAAAGACTACTAGACAATGTTCCACACATTTACATCAACTTCATGTATGTTTGCCATCCTCTAGACAGAAAACAAGGTTGCTGTACAGAATGTCACTGGATTTTGCCCCATTTTTGAAGAACATCCCCTTTATGCACCTCTTGTGGAGACACTTTGCTGAGAAGGTGAGTCTTACAACCCAAAATATGCCTTACTCCAATTAAATTTCCAGCAATCGAAACATCTGAGATACATTGCTTTTAATTGCAGAATGCAAAATACCTACGATAGAATTACTAAGACATGAAAAGCTATATGCAAAATGGAAGATATTATGTGAAGAACATAATAAAATGTTTCCATTTGATCATCTTCATGAAGTGTTAATTGTTTTTTCAGCAGCATCAGTTTTCCTCCCATAATTTAGTTGTGAATCCATGCACACCATTGCTAGATGATACCAATAAAATTGTTTGCATTGAAAACCTAATCCATCCTATAACAAATGTAAGAGACAAAGACACTATGAGATCATAACCTTCTCAAACCTATCATTTCATTTATGATTACAAAATAGAAAATTTGAAAAAGATATCATATTAGCAGCAGACATGAAAACACTTATTGCTTAGATAGGGCATTTATCTACTTTGTAAAATCATAGTCAAAGGAAGAAAGGGAGGTCTTTTGTTTCTTCTTCTTTAGGGCTGATATGGAAGAACATGAATAGATGCACCACAATGCACCTCTCTTCCAAGCAAGAGACAGTTGTATATTTAAGATGATCCATTGAGGTGCATTTATGCAGCAAAAGCTCCTACAATCCTTTACATTCTTCTTAAACCAGGTGTTAAATGAGGACCTGCGGCTCGTGATTGGCCAACAGGAACGGATGCTCAACGGGGACAATGTGTGGAACTTACCAGTCTCATATGACAAGCTTGGGATACGATATCGCCGGTGGAGAGATGCACTCGAGAGAGGAGCTAAGCAGTTACCATCCACCAAACAAGATGAATATCTCTGATGCCCAAGAAGTCCCTTTAAGATATTACTCTTGTCTCCCCCACTGCCATTTATTTCATGGAAAACACAATGAATTGTTGATGGAGGTCTAATAGCCGTGATCCCTGTGAAGCTCAGTATGAAGGAGAAACATCCAAGTACCACACACATTCTGAAGCAGAAGCTGATCTGGAATGATCTGGCTGTTCTTGTGAAAGTGAGCTGTACATTAGTTGGGATTCCAAGGCATGCAAGAATGTCTTGATTGTTTTTTCATGTACATTATCTGTAACATTTTTGTATTCTTCACCTCCTCTCTGTCATTGATGTCTGCAATCTGCTGTATTCCAAACTAAACTATTGTGTGGTAATATCCTTCAGTCTTGCCAAAATTTTAAATCCCTGCACATACTCCACTAGTCCTTTTTTATATGTCATTATTCATTAATCCTTTAATATATTTTTCTCCTGGAAACAAGGCATATCTAAGTTGCCATATAGCTCTGGTCATCAACCACAGAAATAAGCACCTTAAATAGAGTATACTTGCAGATTTGACTGAATATTTTGCCCAAAATTGGGGTGTCCTCTGTGTGCTTTAATGAAAATTACAGTGTGGTGCTCTAAAATTATTCAAATATAATATTGAACCGAAATTTCATATAAATTGCTCTTATATGATCAATCTGTTCATTTCATCAAAGATTTTGTTGTTCCTTTCTACTTACCCACTAGCATATAATGAAGCAAAAATATATGAAGAGAAGCCAATCTCTTTCCATTAAGTAACTTCAATTTACATAAGAAATAATGCAAGAGGAAACATTAAAACAAACATCTACCTGATCCACTTAAGTCGGATTCGGGTATGCTTCAATTTAAAATTTGGATTTGGTTACTTGATAGCTAGTCATATTCGGGTTAGGATAAAATCCACGAGCATCCGATCCGCTACTGTTTGCTTCCCGATGCAACATGTCATGAGTTGGTCCACTGGCCGTCTGATTGACCACAATCAAATTGATGGCTGCAAACGTCGAAACCGTTATGGAATTTTACGGTTCTAATGGAGTCATGACTGGAGACGATCCAGATCCGAACGAGTAGTACACCACTGCGGAACTGGTCTTCCCATCAGATGCCGTTCATCACCGTGACACGCGTTTCACGTGCCCACGTGTCCGAAGACAGAAGAAGAGTGTAATTAGTAAAATGAAATGACTAACACACCCATAGAGAGATTGTATTTCTTCGGGTATAGTTGTAATATTAGGAAATTAGAAGGGTTTCTCTTTGTTTGTCCTCCGATTCCTGACCCAAAAATAATAGCGTTTCCGATCACCAGAAGCCATCATCTCATTCTTCTTCTTCATCTCCTCCTCTCGAGAAACTAGGGTTCCTCAAATCCCCCAATTCCCCGGAAACGATGTCGACCTTCAGCGGCGACGAAACCGCCCCCTTCTTCGGATTCCTCGGAGCCGCCGCGGCCCTTGTCTTCTCCTGTAGTTTCTCGCAGTTCTTCCGCTCTTTCCTATGTTTTGATTCCGTCGTCGAGCTTCTTTCGATCTAAATTTGGTTGGTTTATTGCTCTTCGCAGGCATGGGGGCGGCGTACGGGACGGCAAAGAGCGGCGTCGGGGTGGCATCCATGGGCGTGATGCGGCCGGAGCTCGTGATGAAGTCGATCGTGCCTGTCGTCATGGCTGGAGTGCTCGGGATCTACGGTCTCATTATTGCGGTGATCATTAGCACCGGGATCAACCCCAAGGCCAAGTCGTACTACCTATTCGATGGGTATGCTCATCTCTCTTCCGGGCTGGCCTGTGGCCTTGCAGGACTTTCGGCTGGGATGGCGATTGGCATCGTGGGCGATGCTGGAGTCAGGTAGTTCTTTCATTGTCTATTCGGCCTCTCTAGATCTGAGAATGATCTGCATAGACTTTTTCTGGTTCGATTAGCAAACTTTATTCGCTATTTCTGTGTGTGTTACTATTGCATCTTGATTATTTATTTCTCAAATACGTGAAGATATATTGCCGTCGTTAGCTTGATCAAGAATGCACATCGTTAATCAAGAGATATCCGAAGTGCTCCTTGAATTTGTTGGTTGAAATTGCAATGTGGCGTTCACAAGAAGTTTATATTAAAGCATATTAATAAAAAAATGAAAAACGAAGAATAAGAAAGAAAAAGAACAAACAGTCATATGTCAGGACCTGTTGTTTGACAAGGAAATACATGATGACCAATTGTCAAGGTTCAATGGGCTGTTTGGTTTTGTTACCGGCCTAACATAGTTTTGGTAGTTTCAACTTTATGTAGTTGAATTATGGTAGTTTGGTACAAAATATAGTTAGGGGAAATATACGAAAATTTTATGAACAGGTAAAGTGCTGTATTGCTAACTCAAAGGAAAAAGTGAAACAATATATTGAAAAAAAATGTGTTTATTTATAAAGATCTAGTGATATTGAATATTGTGTTTTCTGTTTAAAGGATAATACCTCGATTAGTCTTATATCATAAGTGGGCAAGACTAAGATTGACTTATAAGGGTTTGATGAGTGTATTACTATTAACTTCAACTTAAGTATTTTGGCTAGTGGTTTGGATCAAATTAAGTTGATAGGTCAGTTAACCCATCAGATCCGGATCGGAACATTTGGTATCAGAGCCGAGCCAATCTTGTATTTGGGTATGGTGAGGGGGCTTAGTTGGAAAGAGTTATATGTGGATGGAGTCAAATGATTTGGCATGATGTAGAGCTATCATTGGGTTACGTCTCACATGCATCATGCTAGGGTTTGATATGGGTTATGTTAAACCTTGACGATGATGTCAAGCTCTTGAGTTGGAAAATTGTAACACTCCAATTAGTTTCACATTAAAAGTGGGTAAGATTAAGATTGACTCATAAGGATCTAATGAGTATACTACTATCAACTTTAGCCTAAGCATTTTGGTTAGTGGTTTGAACCAAACAAAGTTGACAGACCAATTAGCCCATCAATTCTGAGTTGTGATGCAAAGTGTATAGGAACATCTGTTATCATGAAGCTCCCCACTTCAGCCTAAAGTTGTGTCTTAATTTTTGTGTTTCAATCAAAATTTAGTTTCAACTTTGTGCCCTTTGAAAGAGTTTAAATTCTGAACTCAAAGGGAGTTTTTCAAAGTTGATCCAAATACGTTGTTTGAAACTCAAACACTTGTCTTATCTTTTAATATTTTATCATAAAATGATAATTGATTTTCATATATGGATCTTTTTAAGTTATTAAACTAAATGGTTAGAACTGGAAGGTTTCTGGAATTTTCTTATTAGAGCTAATGGTTTGATTGAGAGCCATGCCAAAAGCTAGAGACAGTTTCCTTGCAAAGAAGATAAGGTGTCTTTGGCAAAGTGTTAGAATGTTAATGCTTTAATATGTTGATCTCACAACATTGGTAGAACTCAACAGAAATATCTGTAGGCTGTTGAATGACTTTCATTCAAACCTGTGAATCTGTATTTTCAGTGCCAACCGAAAGTCTTTTGTTTGTGGGAAAGTTCTTAAAACAGTTTCTGGACAAATAAGAGTGTTTGTCATTTTACCCCTCTGTCATAGTGAACTCATGTTATTTCTCTATGAAAAGTAGAGTTGTTGATTTAGTAGTCTGCTGATTGAGCTGGATCAGGATAGTGAAGGAACACCAAGAACTTGTGACTCAGATGTTTGTTTAGGATGAATGTATATTGTATATGGTTTACTGTTTAGCTGAGAATAGAATATCTTTAAAGACCATAAGGTGAGATGTAACTTCCATGTCAATAGCATACATGATTTTTAGACACCTGGTCGAGGAGTTGTCCCAGTTCAAAGGCACTAAATTTATGTAAATTTATAGATCATTCTGGACAATATTTTGACTTGATTAGAAATGTCAAAGCATAATTTTAAACATTTGTTGTACTTATTTCAGTCTTTTAATAATTGAGGCAATGTATTGGGTGGGACATCTATTGTTGCATAATTCAAAAAAACTGTTAATCATTTTGACATTTTTATCTTCTATCAATGCTTATATGCTTTTGATGCATATTTTTTTGACATTATTTTTCAATTTTTGTTTGGTCGTGTATTTATATGCCAAAAGCTATTATTCAACTTTGAAGATGAGTTTGCATGGTCCTTTAAGTATTTCAATCTCAAATATTACAGCTTTATTGTTATGGTCATGGGATTGACCTTGCAGGCATCAGTTTATATGTCTAAATTTTGTGACAGCTACCTAATAATCACAAAGCTTCTAGGTTATGAGATGAAATCCAATATTATGATGGCATGTTTTGAACACAGTTAAGTTCTACCCTCATGGACATGGATGTAGTGATGACTTACGAGTTATGAAGTAGAAACAACATAAAGGTCTCTGTATGTGGTGGGTCAATGCCAGGTTTGAGATTAGGGGAGCCGACTTGGTACATGGGCACTGTCCCTGTCACGAGGTGGGATAAATTTCCAAAGCTTCTTTCTTATGTTTGATGCTATTAACCCTCTGTCTGACAAACATTTGCGTTGTCAATGAACTTGGATGTTGGTACAATTAATGGATCCTCCAGCTCCTTTGTGAATCATGGTTATTATTCTTGATGTACCTGGTATTTCTATGTTTGTAGATTTATGCTTATTTTGTTTGCACTTTTTTCCTATAATTCAGCCGTTGTTCATTGTTGGCCTTTGGTTGTTGTAAAGGGGGAAAAAAATAATTTTATGTGTAATTTAGGCTTATTTATTTCTATGCCTATACGGTAAAAGCCAAGGGGTTTCTGTCTGCTTTATTCTCATGTCTTCAGCTGTGTATTTCTTATGTGAAGTATTTGAAAGTTCACCCTTTAATGATCGTGCCCGACTCATCTTTTAGTTAATTAATCTAGTCTCCTGATATATAAACTCGACTTATTTTGCCATTTACATCTGTCGTAGGGCCAATGCTCAGCAGCCAAAGCTCTTTGTGGGAATGATCCTTATTCTCATCTTTGCGGAAGCTCTTGCCCTCTACGGTCTCATCGTTGGCATCATCCTTTCCTCTCGGGCTGGTCAATCTCGAGCAGAGTAAGATTGGACCATACACTTTTATGGAAAATTACTGCATATTTTTGTCGACCTTTGTGATCGTCACGTAATTTATTCCAGAACTTCCTACGGATAAGAGTCATTACAGGACTCACGCTATATCCTCAATAAGTTGGCACTGTAATCTTGTTGTACTGCAAGTTGTAGATGACGGCATACGCCACGCCGTGCCTCCATTCCGTGAGGACTTTGAAGTAAATTTAAATGATTTACGTTGCCTCCTTATAGATAATTCAGCTGATTTCAAGTTTATTATTGTTTTTGCCTGTTTGGTTGCTAATAGAAATGACCTCCCAATTTGATGGACGTTGTGTTTGTTCCTGTTATTTGTATATAAACTGATAACTGTCTCTTCTTGACCAGCATTAGACAATTTTTAGATCATCTTTTTTTTTAGGTATAAATAGAAAGTGAAGACAAGATGAGGTACTCATATCCTTAGATTCATCAATATTATAAATATATTTTAAAAGAATGTTTGATATTCTTTGTTTTTTTTTTTTTGGGAAGATCTCATTTTCTTCTTTCTTTTTTTTTAAATAAATACTGTATTCAATTAAATAATCGAGACATTAGAATGAATCTTTACGAGAAACACTACTAAAATAATAATAATAATAATAGTTGATACAATGAAAAGTAGATACTGATGATCTTCCCAAGTTATTTCTCTTCCGTGGCCCAATCATCATTCAACCAATCACTCATACGAGAGAATCTAAAGTCCAGTTTCGATTGAAGAAAGTCTCAATAAGATCTACCAAAGCTATAGGAGAATAAGATGTGCTTTGTTGAGTCTATCCCAATGCTGCAAATACTATATTGATCGACGTAACGATCAATGTACGATGCTTAAAAGCCATAAGGAGATAGGCAATTCGTCCAAAGGAGTTATCACAAAAAAAGGTCTCCGAGCAGCCTTCAAGCCATCCCAACCCCTCTCTTGATCAACTTATTAGTCTCTTAAGTATCTATAAATACTCTTACAAGTCACAAGCCCTTGAGGATGAGAGCTCCAAATCCAGCTGTCATTATCGAACTCAAGGACCAAATGAATACCTACTATTTTACCAACCAAGAAAGGATGAACGGTATCTTGCAAAAAATAGAGATTCCAGATACTGTTTATAATGAGATCCTCAACATATTATAAGTTGGAAAAAAATTAGAGATTCATGGGTCACCCCAAAAGCCTAATATGCTATTATGATCGATCCTATGACTCTTCCAACACTCTCACAAATATAATAAATGATTGATGTAATGTCTTTCCAAATGGGAGAAATCTTTCTACAACCCCAAGAGTATGTATTATTTGGCTATTAAGATTCTAGCCCTAAGAGAATTAAACTTATTAAGAACAGATAAGATACATCTAACATTTAGTGCGTACCTTACAAGACTAATATCTCTCTTCCTCAGCCCTCTCCTCCTATTCTCCTTAGTTACTACAACATGGTCCCAGATGATGAGTCTAATCTTTCTATGCAAAGATAGAGTTGTCCCAAAAGAAAGAATTATTATATTTATTAGTGTTATTGGCAAATTTGTTAGTGGTCCAACAATTAACGATGGAATCAAGAGGAATCGAGTTGAGGATGGAGTTTATCAAGATCACTTTTCCATCTTAGGACAAAAGTGTCTTTGTTAGCCAAGGGTTTTGCCTATAGATCTATCAATAATTTAAGTCTAAATGTTAGGATGAATTCTATAAGAAAGTTCCCAAGTAAGGAATAAGACAAGTGCCTTTTGATGATGCCAAGGATATTATAAACTCTATGCTTGACATGTGACAGACTATGTTTATGGAAGAATACAATAAATTCACCCTTATTAATGTTAAGACCTATTAGGGAGAAGTACAACTTTAAGGTGTTGGACAAGTTTTTACATGGTGTGATCCTTATATAAATCATGATCTCATCTACAAATACAAGGTGGGAAATCTTGATACTTTTGACCATGAATAGTTTGATTCTATTGTTGTCGACATTCACCTCTAAGAGAATAGATAAGAGTTACTGAACATCTCTTTGACTTCTAAACAATCATGAATTATAGTTGTTCATCGAGCACCTAAACTTAGGAGAAGCAACATAAGCTAAAATCTAATAAATAAATGACGAAAAGTTCATTTTGCGATGCTAGATAAAACAAACCAAGAAAGAGAGTCAAATACTTTTTTGTAAATCTATCTGGATCAAAATGAGAGAATTTTTATCATAGAAATTATATATAGAATTAGTCAATTCTTAAGCAATAGTAATATTATCACAAATGCATCCTGATTAATGAGCTTACATAAAAAAGATTTAATGCAATTATCTAGCACTTTGAGAAGAGCTTCTAGATAACATTGCATGAAGCTATAGAACAAAAATCAATAATTTTAAAGGGGCTATCTTTCTTGTGGATGTAAATTAAATTTGTTTCTCTCCAACTGTCAGGAATCATAGCAAATATATATAAATACTTACAGGTTAGTACAATAAAGAGTTTAAGAAAATTATAGGAATGAACAAAGAACTCCATAGTATATCCACTCGGTCTAGGACTTTTGTTTAAATCTATATTTTTAAGGGCATCGTGTATTTCAATGATGGAAAAACCTTTTGTGAAACCTTCTTATCAATCTCTATTGATTTAGGAGAGGGCCAAATGACTAGATTAATCCTCAAGGTTTTCCTTGTTAGGATCAAGAGCACTAAGAGGGGGGATGAATTAGTGCAGCGGAAAACCTTCTACGATTAAAATAAAAGCTGTGTTCATTCGTTAAAAGTGATTTTGGTACGAAAGCCGATTCATAAATCACTTTAACTTTTGTTTAAACGAGATGCAAGAAAGATATAAATGCAGTTTGCAGTTATGATTCTAATCAGATAGTAGGCGCAAACTGAAATATAATATTCGTACAAAAAAACTGATTTACGTCTAAATACAGATTCGTAAATCACTCGATTAAGCGAGATGCAGTTTAAGCAAGGATATGAAGGCAGTTTGCAGCTATGATAGAAATCAAGACGTAAACGCAAACAGAAATATGATGATCGTACGATGAAACTGATTTACATCTAAACGTCGATTCGGAAAGTGC